AAAAAAAAAGAAAAATAAACCAAAACCAAAAACCACCTGCTCTTCTGGCTGGCAAAATAAAGCATCTTCTTTCTTAGGTAGCAGCTACCACAGACAGCAAGAGTAAACAAAACTAACATACAGAGATCCAACAAACACTTCTGACTAATAACAGAGGTGACAGATCAGCAAATCTCTTCTGCATTCAAAATGGTTCAATTGCTTCAGGGATCTTTTCCCACTTTGCCCTAAACCCCTTATTCTATTGCTTTGCAATCTAGTCAAGCCATAAAATCGCACACACGGTTCCTTTCTTAAATCTAAAAAAGGGGTGTATGCACTAGGTCATAATACACAGACAAGTATACTCTACTTTGTTCCCACAAATGCAGGCTTACATTTATCTAGCTACTTTGTATGCTTTTATAAGCATTTAATATCACTGATACATAATCAAATAGCAATTACCAAATATATTGTGGGATTCCCTTCTGTAGAACATCACAGGCACCAAATGCTTTTTTTTTTTCATTATTCAGTTTTTGTTTTTTTTTTTTTTTACCTAAAAGAGCTTTAAATACGTTCTATGTGGGAGCAGATTAAAAAAAAATTCATTCTAAAAATAATAACAAAAATAAAAGGGCTGGGGGAGCAAGCGTGACTTTCTGTGCCGATGTCCTCACAGGTTGATATCTCTCACATCTGTGGGAGTGCTGGCCTGGTCCAGTTCGTCCACCGTCTTAGAAGGATTGCTTTGCTGTTGCTGCTGCCGGACTTGCCTAAGGCTGTTTACTAGCACCGCCTCGATCTGTTCTTGACAAGCTTTAAGGCAGTCCTAGAGGATAGAAAGCAAATTGAGCTGTTAGTGGAGTTGATTAACTTTTTTTTTTTTCCTTACTGAGCTAGTAGAAGTTGGAAGAGCATCAGTCTGGTATTCCCGAGGAGTGTCTGCTATGACAGAAAATGACCTTGAATTCTCACAGGTAATCACTGTGTACAACCTCCCTGGGTTAAACAATGCTAATGCTGTATTTATTAGACCCTGCAAATCTTAATATTTTACCTGTTCTTGCTCATTTGTGGGGCCTTCTTGAACAGGAACACAAAGTGTTGCAAAAAATGAAGGGCGGGGTATATGAATTTTTGCATTCTTCTATGCAGGGTTAAGTGACTTGGGTGGGTCTTCGCTACAAAAAAGCTGCGTTCTTCTCCTGAAATAACCACCATGTGCTATACCAAAGTCACACAGGCAGAAGCGCTTCAGTTTTACCATCAAGCAAATTGGTGGTAAATCAAAGTGAAGGAGGAGTTCTGAGGTCCCCGAAACAGCGCTGTCACTGAATTTTTATTAGTCATGCATTTGGGTCCCCAAGGCAAAGGCAAAAGAAGGGTCTGTTTATCTGTGAAAATTCACGCAAGGGGAACAAACGACGCAGCCCCAAACACGCAGCCACGTTCTCATTCTCTGAGCGCATTCCAGAGAGGAAAAGTGATTTCAGCAGCGGAGGAGGAGATGGAGGTGTAGGGTATGCTCCCACACCTTCACTCTGAGAGCACGACTATTTTAACAGCCCCAGGAGTAGTTACTGGCAATAATTCACGGAAGACATTAAAGCAAGGACAGCTACTAGAAAAAGATGCAAGTCAAAAATGCACAGCCAAGCCTCGGAGACCACTACATTACAAATTATACTACACAACACTTGGAGAAAGAGCAGGATACGGTACGGCAACTCAAATCTGGGAGCCCTGTACATTAGGAGCCCTGCAATGAACATGAAGTATAAATAAACAAATAAATGTGAAAGATTCACCACACTTAAGCCAGACACAGCCAGACGAAGAAGACAACTATTAAAATATTACAGGATGTTCCACATTCTTGATAATACGCTGAAGACCAAATAATATGGATATTTAAAAAAAAAGAGAAGTGTGTGAAAACGTTGACAAATGGTTATAGCAGAAACTGAAAAATAAAACCCAAGCTGTGACTGTATAAACACAATGCCAATTATGTGCAGCGTGCTGGGGCTGTGAGAGTATCAATACGACACTGTGTAGGTGGGCAGGTGGTGCTACGATAAATGGGTTTTCCTAAAAGCAGCCCTGTGGAGTCCTTCTACAATACTGGAAAAGGTACTGATACTGTAAACTCACTGAAGCCTCTGTCTGCGTAAGAGCTGGGTCTCTCCCAAAGACTTCAGGCAGTAAAGAAATGCACTTTTTGGTAGCAGGAGTTTTACAGCAGAGTATTTTAACCAGACCCCTGGCAGCATCTGGCAGGAGCGGTGAGACCCGGTATCACCATTCCCACTTGCAGGCAGGGGAGCTGAAGAACAGAGCTGGGCACTGACCTCCACGGGGTCCCACAGGCGCTTGTGTCAGCCCGGGAACCGAATACGGGATGCGACTGCAACGCTGGGGAGCTGGGCTCTGACCAACAACGCCCACTTTCTCCACACAACACCAGGTTATTCAGCAGAGTTTGAAATATTCATGTATGGAGGTTTAATTTGTCATCCTAGCCAGACTGGGAAAACACGTCAAATGCAGAGTATCTGTTCCGCTGACGACATTTACATTCGTGATGGGCGCAATTAGCTCTGGTGGGTCACGAACACCCATTTTTCTTGGCTATTAGCCAGCAGCTGCTAGCTACAAAGTCATGTCCTCTCCTTGTCGTGAAACTGTCCTGCTTAATATAATGAAGCATCACAACCTTTCTCTGAAGGTGCGTCTGCCAGAGAGGCCATGAGGAACGGCTTTTCAAACTGACCCAGGAAAAAGGGGTTGGATGAGACGCTGCCTGTATCACTGTGAGACAAAAACACTCACAGTGATGTGGATCACATCACCTAAAGTCAGAGTGAGACGTCATCGAAATCTCCCGAGTATCTGGGCTACCTGTGTGCAATCTGACTCAGGAATTTGTTCCCTCAGCATGGTAACACCACGGCGAAACAGAGTACGGGGCACGGCAACACAAAAAACTTCTGCTGCAACGCTGTGTGTGTGCGGCGGGCAGACGGAGCCTTCCCCGTGTCCACCTTTTGTCCCGAGAGCCGGGGACTGTGGGACTGCAGGACTGCCCCTCAAAAAGGAGCTGTGGTCAAGTTAACTGGCTTACAGCCGTACCGTACGTACCCAAACGAAGCTCTACTATAAGCAATGCTTCTCACTCCTAGCAACTTTCCCAAGTCTCAGTCACTGGAGCTAAACTTTACCCTCTGCCTCGGGCTGGCTTGTTTATGGAAGGGGAGAAACCACAACAAAAAAAAGTGCTGCTATGTCCGAGGAAAAGGTTAAGGAAAGCAGGTAATTTTACCAACTCTTAAGCAAAGTTTCCAATCCTATTTTTTTGAGAAGATTAAGTATAATTAGGATTCAGCATGGCACATGGAGGGGGGGTCAGGTACCTTTTGACATCCTCAAGAAATGCAGCCCAAGGTTAGCCAAGATACATGGCTCAGAATGCATACTGCATTCATTCAGAGCCCTTACGATCGAGGAGGTCTGTGCTTTGGAGGAAGGCAGCCACCATCCCTGTTTGCATCTAAGCCTGGCTGAGCACAGGAGGGTCCCTGCAGGGCTGCACGGGAGTTCCCTGCCAGCCCAGGTACCCATGTTTCCCTCCTCTGGAAGCCAGGTTATAGGAAAAATAGTCTGTATGTGCCGTATCACTGGCGCAGAGTCAGAATACAAATGAAGCATGATGCCAAAGGAAGCTTGGACACGGCTGTTTAAGATGGCCTGGACAGCACTGAACTCTGAATTCAGGTGACTGGCTGTAGGCTCCTCGTCTCACAGAGCACAGCACTCCGCTCCTGAGCTCCAGCAGGCATCAGCGTAGCCCACAGTACAGCAAAGGAGTGCTGCAACCTGCTCTCGGTCGCACCAGTCCTCGCCTGTACATTGGAACAACTCCTGCATCACATGTATTGCAGAGATCACCCCAAGCTCTTTGTAGTCGCCTCTGAGACATGCCCCGATTTCCATCACTCCTGTAATTCATCCCGACACTCTGTGAGCCGGAATGATGCTCTTGGAAGATCAGAGGTATCATGTGGGCACCACCACTGCATTGCCACAGCCAGTGCATAATCACAATCATCTGCAACCAGTGAATAACCGTGGGGTTCAGAACCACGGAGCACCTGAAATGTCAAGTCAACTCAGAGGGATTCAGGGAGTATCAGTATACTGGTCTCCATGTGCCTGGTCACTGCTTCCCTTGCCCTGGGACAGGACAGCCCTCCCCAGCTCCCAGGCTGTGGCCCTAGGTAGACCCACGTTGGGCTGCATCCCCGTCTCCATCCCACACCAGCGCCCGCTGCCTTTCCCATGCTGCAAAGCTCCTCATGTGGCAAAAAACCTGCAGTTACCAAACACATGGTTCACACATCGGCTTCATTACAGCCAGGGTTTGATGGAGGAGGGTGTGCCTAAACCCAGGCCTTCCAGAGCTGCCTGGCAGGCAGAGCACAGGGCAGCTGCCCGTTCCCGCTTGCACTCCCATCGGCTGGGGACTGCCGTCTGCTGGCCTCCCGCTCCTGGAGAGAAGGGAAGCTTTACTGTTTGAGCTTACTTGGAGCAGAGCAGGAAGCCTCGGAAGTGAGAGACCGAGACAAATGTCTTTGAAGATGCAGTAAAATGTAAGCACAGTGTATTTACTGGTGAAGAGATCCAGGACAGATAAGCAAGTTTTTGAGCATGCCTTACCTCATGGGGTTCCTCCTTTCCTTTTAGCAAAAGGTAAGGAGAAGGGCTTCCCTGTCTGTCGCCACTTTCCTGCTGCTGATTTTTTTAAGGTAAGAATACATACTTTTGTTTAACCAGGTAAACGTTTTTTTTATAGCTGGGGCTTGCTCTTGTATTATTGGGGGCTTAGTAATTTCCTAATACTAGAATTGCTTGTTTAATGATGGGAGCTGTACAAATTCCTCAGCTTTCCTTCTAAAGTACCTACGTGCCAAAAGCAATCAGAAACCCAGATAAAGAAAATCCCCCGTTATTAGCTTGGGTGGGTTTTAGGTCGGTTGTAAGCATTCACCAGTTTGTGAGAGGGCAATGGCAACAAGTCACTTCAAGGGTCAAGGCATTTTCAAATGGAAGAGCGAGCAGGGGCAGCGGTTTGGAGACTCTTGTAACAAACTACACTCGTAATGCAAGTATTTTTTTTTTGGTATAAGAATCTCTTCTTTTAAAGCACAGTGGTGCACAATTTCAAAATACTACGTCCTTCTGAAAATAAGCCAGATTTTTTACAAGCAGCTTCAGACTGGAGAGCTTAATGAGGCAATTTCCTTGCAGCCAGGCTTGGGGAAGGAAGGGTGGTGACATGCGGAACATAAGGCTTGAGCATTTGGAGCCAACTTTGTCTGTTTCTAAACACCCTTATATATGATCATTTACACTGTTATTATACAAACTTCTGACGGCCAATATGATGCTTCATTTAATGTATGAAGAGGCTAAAATCGCTAGGTAATCCTATAGAGAAATGGGTCATTTCTGATGTCTTCATTTTGTACATAAAACCAATGAAGAGGCCCAGACTGGAATTGTCACAGTTTGCATAGATTTTATTTCGTGTGGGGATCCACAGGCCACTGATGCATTTTTTCTCTCCTGTGTTAGCTCTGGGCTACACTTACGTTTTGAACTTAAAATAATGTACCACTGAATTCTTTAAAACAAAGAACACCATGGTAAAATGACCAGCATGTTGCATTCAGCATGAAATAGCTTCCCAAAAAAGTGTTGCTATTTGCATACTGAAACTCAGTTTTTTATTAGTCTGAGTAATACATTCTGTTTAATTAGTCTTGTCTA